AGAAGGCCCACTCATAGTAGAAGAATCACCCTTGGTAGGAGAGATATCAATGGTTTGTCCCTCAAGTCACTTGATATGCACACGGCTGGTTCTTCTTTTGAACACCCTTAGATGGCCTAATTGAACAGTCTGGAATGATGTGTCCATGCTGCTTACAATAAGTGTAAACATTATTCTTCTTGCAATGAGAAGCAATGTGATCAAATCCCTTGCACTCGTAACATTGTGTTTTGGAGAAGTTCTTGGCACCAGATTTCTTGCTTCCTTTTTTTTTGATGAATGAAAGTAGTTTTATTAAATCAAATATCAAAAATACAATCAGTCTAGGAGGAGGCACGAGATGTTACCCCCCCCCCCCCTTGGACTGAACCATATACACCAAAACTGCCTAGGCCTGAGATACAAATACAAAGTAGCCCAAAATAGATCTCCCCTTGACACCCCTTGCTTGGCCAAAGAATCAGCCATTGCATTTGTTGATCTTCTGACCCACTGAAACCTGATAGTCATATTCCTTGTCAACCATTTAACTTTCTTTAACAGATATCTGTAGTCCCAACAGGCTGTTTTTGGGCTAATTAGCCAGCCTACTACTACTACCTTGGAATCCCCTTATACTAGCAGATTGGTCACTCCAATTTGACTAGCCATCTGTATACCTTGTACCGTTGCTAGTAGCTCTGCCCTTACTAAATCACCTTCACCCACTGGTCCTGAAAATAGAGACAACATATTGCTGCCTTTGTCTCTCAGAATCCCACCTATTCCCGATGGCCTTAGGTTACCTTGGCAGCTACCATCAAAATTCAATTTTACCACACCATCCGGTGGGGGAATCCATTCAGCTTGTGATTTGATCTTGGTGGAGACTTTAGTAGCCACTGCAGCCCAATTTCTCCTTAAGTCATCAAAGGAGTAATTTGCCAACAAGTGTGAAGATTTTAACCATGAGATAGTCCTTGTCAATATGCATTCCTTGATTTCAGCAAGACTTCTTTCCTGTTCATGAAATATTCTAGCATTTCTCTCCTCCCATATACTCCACAACGTAGCGGCTCTAATACATTTCCACATTAGCTTCCCTCTTTTTGTCAATCTCCCAAAGGCAGTCGGAGTGAACAACAACTTTACTTCAGAGGGCAAATTGCACCTGCACCCAAATAAAGAAACAACCCAATTCCAAATATTGGTAGCGAAGGAGCGTGATATCAGCAAATGGTTACAGTCTCACCCCTCACTTTACACAGAGAGCACTAATTAGGGGACAAGCACATAAAAGGTTTCTTTTTTGTAAGTTTTCCACAGTATTGATCTTACCATAATAGGCTTCCCAACAGAACACAACTATTTTGGGGGGAATTGGTCTTGACCATACCTCTTTAATGGGGAAGACCTGAGAGGAGGGGTTGGAGCAAAGGGCTTTAAAGAAAGAAGCACAAGTGAATGAGCCAATCGGGGTTAGGGACCAAACTCTTTTATTCGGGTTAGGGAGGTCCAAACACACCGAATCTAGAATCAACAACAACTCTGAAACGAAAGAGATTTTTCATCCCTCTTCGAAACCCAAAATCCCAATTTAAGGCCAAAGGGCAAATTGGGGGGGAAAGGAACCAAGAAATGGGTTTCTTTTTAAAGAGGGAGATGGAATAGAGAGAAGGGAAATGATCTTTTAGGGGTTGAGAGCTCACCCAAGTATCTTCTCAAAAAAGAATGGAGTTTCCAAAGCAAGCATCATACCTTACAAAACCGAGGAACTTAGGAAGAATGCCAGAGATAGCCTTCCAAGGTGTTGTGAGCAAAGCCCTTCAGGATACTCCCACATCCCAACCTGATTCGGAGTAGCCATGCATACTTTTCACTACTTCATGCCACAACCTCTCCCTCTCCAGGGGCCACCTCCAAAGCCACTTACCTAAAACAGCCTCATTCTTGCTCACCACATTCCCTAATCCTAGACCTCCTTCTTCCTTACTTTGACACACTACCTCCCACCTAATCAAGTGATCTTTTTTCTCTTCCCCAAGTTCCCATAAGAAATCTCTCATTAGTTTTTCCAACCTCTTTGCCTCCCTTTTAGGAATTCTAAAGACTGACAGGAAGTATAAAAGCAAGTTGAATAAAGTTGCTTTAATCAAAGTAACTCTACCCCCCTTGGAAATATAGTTTCTCTTCCAAGCTGCCAATCTTTTTTCAAATCTTTCCACCATTGGGTTCCAGAACCTACTTTCCTTTGGATTTGCACCTAAAGGAAGTCCTAGGTAGGATAGAGGCCACTAAGAGTAGGTGCATTCTAGCAAGGCTGCTATAGACTCCAACTCCTCTCTGTTCAAGTGAACTCCTACAACACAACTCTTCTCAAAATTTACCTTTAAATTTGAGGCCCTCTCAAAGTGAATTATTAAATCCTTCAGATTCCTTAGCTCCATCAAATCACAACCTTCACAAAAGATTATTATGTCATCTGCAAACTGGAGATGGGTTACTGAAACTTTGTCTCTACCTATTCTTCACAAAAGATTATTATTACTCTGTCTCTACTTCTGAGAGTAACCTAATCTCAGATCTGCCCCTTTAAGTGATTGATCAAATCAACCCATATCGAAATGGGCTTTAGGCCCAATATGTATTAAGTGCTCAATAGTCTTCCAACCTGCTGCCCAATTGGGCTTCTTTGTATGGCGTGGGACCCAAGCATTGATCTATACATCAACCACATGGGTTCGGCCCAGCCTCTGTTACAAGGCTTAGCCGAATTCACTTGAAATCCCAGTGAACCCCTTGAGCCCATCACATGGACCCTATGGGTCCAACACTTACACTAAGTGGTCCTTGGGCCAAGCTATCTTATAAAAACCCAGGGATTGTGGACAGATGCAAGATTAGCCCATCAGGTATTATCCTAAATGACCTTACACTTAACCTCTCAGCCCATAATGATCAAGCATTGCTCGACAAGAGAGGACCTCTCCCTTGGCTGCAAGGAACAGTGCTGCACTCTC